GCTTGCGAGTGGTTGGAGTTAGGTGAGTACCAATTCCACTGCCAAACCCAACATCTTCATCTTCAACAGCACTGTCTGATTCTCGCTGACGTAACGATATACGATCATACTTGTTATCAATCAACTGGTCAGCAAGCTCACAATAAAACTGATTTGGAGACATCTTAGAACCATCTCCCTTTGCACCTGCATACAGTTTCCAAGCATCCAAAATGCAAATGGCCAATAAAGAAGTGTTGACACGCATAGACCACTCCTTGACTTGGAACTTCTTTTCCAAGCCGAGATCATCCTGACGAGATCTGTTGTGGCGGTCAATCTGAGAGCAAGTTTCATAATACTGCTCACAGACTGAGGGAATACGGATAGACAATTCCTCTTTTTTTGTCACGCCATGACGTGTACGCCATCTCTCGCGGTAGATTGGAGTTCCTTCGTTGGATGTTCCGACAGAACTAATAAAGTATCTGCGGTCTCGGTCCACCCACATCACTGCCATGAGATGAGGCCCGGCCACCGGCTTCGAAACTAGTGTGACGTGCTCTCCCTTTTCAGCAATCTCCAGATGAGATAGATATTTCATCGGATATTTCTTGGTAGATGTCTTCACTACACCTGTGAATCTAAGACCTTTCTCATAAAGTGATTCAGCAGAAGCAAAGTACGAATCCGCGCAGACAACACGATTGGTGTGAAACCATGGCTGTAACAACCTCAAAGTCACTGCGGTTCCGTGTAAGTGGTCACTTTCAAAATCTTTTAAAGAAGTCTCCTCAGCTGAGACGACGTTCTCAATTCTTATTATGATTCCACTTTTTCCACATGCAGCAGTCTTCAACTCACCGCCATTCTCGGGTTTTCGGTCCATGGCCACATAATGAGGAAGACCGGTTTCAATCCAATCTCCTCCAAGTCCATACCAGCGTGACATACTCTCATCAACGCAGATGTTCTGTGAGGGAATCACATGTGATGCTCTGTGATCATTGATTGCGACCATGAAGTCCCTGATCATACCCCATCTGTCATTTGAGTCAGCTGGAATGCTGAACGTGACATTCTGACGAAGCTCCTCGAATCTTCTGCGGGAGATGATGTTTCCGAATTGAGGTTGCGGGAGATATTTGCTGGTTTCCTGTGAGCTCCAAAGAGACCTTCTGGTGCAGAATTCAATCCGAGTCATAAGGATTAGCACCCCGAAAAAATTCAAAATTTCACCTCTTGTAGTCAAGCGAAGTCCCCTTGATTCCATTGCATCGTTGGTGTAGGAAACCATTAATGCCAAGTGCTCCTGTGGGAACATCCACATGAAGTAGTCCATGGGATGCATTTGGGATGGACTGTGACCACGGGATATAATCTCATCAATCGGTCCAATCACCTTCCATCTTCTCGGCGGTATCATACCATTTAAATGCATCGTGACTTTCTCACGCTTCCAGGCCCGGCCGTGGACATTCATGAGGCCATCTTGGGAATCCATTTCGTCACTCTCGGAGATTCTCGTACTCGGGCTGAATGGTCCTTCCAGTGGCGTCACGCGGTCCTCTGTAGGCTCCGGTTGCGCATAATGTTCAGTTTCTTGATGGATATGATCTTCAGGACCGTCATCGATCAGGTCCATCACTTCACCAGCCTTGATGTTAGCTATGCGAAGCGTGACCTCCTTGACGCCATCTGATAATTCCCATTTAGCCCTGACTGAAGTGACACTGCGACCCTTCACTTTGTCAGTTTTCATGCTAATGACAGTTCCCGTGACCAACTTGATCTTCCAGGAGGCTCCATACATGCGACGACATTTACTCTGAGCTGTGAGCAGTCTTGCACGAGTGTGGACGCGGTTTCCTGCAATAATTCGAGGATCATTGACCCTCACCATTTTGAAGAAATTTTGGGAAGAGGAAGACGAAAGTGTTGATTAGGGAAGACTGAGATACGGAATTGAATGTTTTCTGGTTTGCCAACGTTTAGTACTCTAGTCGTAAGCTTTTCACTAAAGTAGCGATAAATTTCTACAATTATTCGAATTGCAAAAGCCCGCCTAAAAACTGGCCTCATATGAGGCCATTTGTCACCTAGACACTAGTAACGCCAGTTCATTTGTTGGCGACTTTTTTGTCCAGAATTATGGGCTTGTCCAAAATATTGCCCTTAGGAGGGGTAACATTCGAAGATGGCTGGTTGGCACAGAGACCACAAGTCACAGGCCCCACAATGGCGTACCCTTACGGTACCCTTGGTACAGTATCTACAAAGGAATCGTGTGTGCTATACAGTATTCCGTACCCACAGTTGCAGGCAAAAGCGCTAGCCTTCTTCGCAAAGCTTGAATGAGTGCAGTGTCGCGATTCTTATTCGGAGTTGGAATGTGGTTTTGAACTGTGAGCTGTTCGTTGGACAGTGTTGTCGATACTGTACAGTGGGAAAAGTAGTACAGTAGGGATGAAACTGACCCAGAATATGGTGACGTACGGTGTGAGTTTTTCGCAAACGGTTGGAACGTTCGAAGTGGAACTTCCGCAGAATATCGAACTACTGTAGCCTCTGGTCGAGCTGGAAGTGGCCGGATCAAAGGTCGGGTACGTCAGAAGGATTCGTCATCTGACAAGAAAGTGATTGAGACTCATGAATAGTGCCCCCTGTAGTAGTGCGTGCTGCGAAGTAGTGCAAAAGAGTGTCATTAGGTATTTTATTGTAGGTGTAAGAAAGGTTCACAGGGGAGAAGCAAATTTAAGTGCACGCCCAAAACCAAGCACATCGATGGAAAGGTCTTTAAAAGACCAGCAAGGATATTGCAAAATGAATTACAGTACTCATTACACGTACAGTGCCTCCTACGATATAGTGCTATAGCGTGACACACCTCTAGCTATGGCACTATTTGGGGGGATGGCACTATATAAAGGAGGCTCAAATACATATATTTGGGGACAAAGCACACTGCCAACACAAACACAACAAAGCCTGTATAACAGAACTAAATTAACTTCATCCTTTGTACTGAACCATGCCGGATGATGCACGTGTGAGGTTATGATAACCTGTGCCAGAGGGTGAGCCATAGCACTATATAGAGGGAAGCACTACTAAAGTAGGCACTATTGAGCGACCCCCCCCCCCTGCATTGCACTCCCCGAATAGCGTAATTTCTTACCTACATGCTACGTCTGCCGGTGGACCCTTGCAAGATGGGTGCGGTTAGAGTCACAGTCAAAAGTTCGAGGGGGCACAAGGCCTCTCTGTGCTTGTGGTTCCACCCAGGCAAGACAGCCCCACAAGTAGGGCACTGCCAATAGGGCACCATTTCTTAACACTGATATAAAGCCGCCGTCGCCACCCCCCGGTGGCGACGGCGGCTTTATATCAGCCCCCACCGGAGCTTGGCATCACAGTGCTGCAGTGCGTTATTGGCTGACTTCAAACGGTGTCAGTGCTTACCGTACTGACGCCCAGGTGCTGGGTGGCGCCGAACGAATGCGGTGCTGCGCCGTGTCAGGGCAGTATTTCGCTTTGCTTTCTCGGCATTTTCTAGCCTTGGGTATCTCATGTGGCCTCTTTTGCATCGAGGTTGCGATTTTCTCAAATCAAAGACAGAGCCACAAACACACCAGCCAACCACCACTACGGCCTTTGTCAATTCTCATTCGCCTCTCCACAAGGGTCGTTGGTCTATTTTAATCGCCATTTCACTCTACCCTTATCCGTACCGCGACAAAAACGTCCCCACAGACGACCACCTCGCTCCCCTTTCGCCTGCACTGCTACAAGGCCCACACCCAATCTCCCTGCTGCAAGAATTTCCAGCCTTGCCCCAGACCGCCGCGTTTCCTCTGCTATTTCGTGTCTTTCACTGGAGCCATCCCATCCGAATCATGCCGCCATCCTTGCGCTCCCCACCGAGGCCTTCGCGTTCGAGCTCGCACTCTCGCCCGAACCGCTACACAGACTATCCATCACTCCAACGCAAGCGTCCACTTCGGAGCGGCGAGGATGCCTATCGCCCGCCCCGCCGTCAGCGTTACCTCTCCCCCGAGCCACGCACGGTTTCACCCCCGCGGTTCCGTAATTCTCTGGGTTTGTGCCCCACGCCCTGTCACTTCGCAGCTTTCTCCAGCGCCGGTGACTTGCTCGCTACCTGTGGCAAAGGGTCCACTGCCAAGTTTTGGTGCGCCAACGTTCGACGTAATGAGCCGCTGGAAGAGTTCCAGAATATCCCACATGGCTGCGTCGTCTTCCAGGCTCATGTCTCTGACCGCTTCCTCTGCGCCATCACAGCAGCCCAGGACGGCAAAGTTAGGATTTGGGACTACCGCAGAGGAAAGCCTGGTCTTATCGAGATTGACCGCATAACATATCGCAACGCCCGTGCTTGTCAAATCACTCCGGATGGTTCGTATGCGGTCGCGACCTTTTATCGTGGAACAAAATCCTTCGATAACGCTTACAGAGATGGTCCTTTCTTGTCTTCCTTTTCAACAGCAATAATTTTGCTAGACGATGAGCGCCGCTGTGTCTTCGAGTTGGAGGAACGCGGCAAAGTCGATTCATGTAAAATGTCTAGCGATGCCTCGATAATCGCTGTCGGTTTATCAGGCGTCCGCCCAAAAACCTGGAAGGCCGTTGGGAATAGCATTATTATACTTGACCGGGACGGAACGGAGCTCACCAGATTCTCAGATTGTCTACATCATGAGACGACTTGCTCAAAGTGGGACTTGTCACATGATGGTCGCCGTCTTGCACTAATTTCGTCTGATGCCCTAAGCATCGAACTGTATGAAAGAGGCCGGTGGGATGACCCCCCGGCTATTCTCTCATGCTCTGACTCAACTCCTTATTCCTCGGTAACGTTTGCAGACAAGGGCAGACTCGTGATTGCTGTCACGAGCGACCTCTATCGTCCAAGCACTGTCAGAGTATTTGACATCCGCTCGGGATTGGTACTATGTGAAGCTCCTCAAAGTCTTAATGGCGGTCTCTTAGCAGTCAGCTCTGTCATGCAACAGCTCCATTCGAGGACGCATGATGGCCTTGAGGTCCGCCTCCTTTGCAAATCGATCGATCCAAAGAACATGACAGTAATGTATTCGACCAAATTTGAGGTACAAAAGTCATCTATACCATGCGTGGCATCAGGTACTTATGGAAGGCCTGTGAAGTTCCCTGAGTGGCAAAACAACTACCGCCTCCCAAACAAAAAGATGACTCCACAACAAGAATCGCTTTCGATTCCCCCCCAGTACGGCAAAGAAAGAGCAAGGATGAGCATTGATGAACGCCTAGGACAGGAACGAAGTGTCCGACCACGGGATGCTTATTGCAATACGCAAAAAGATCTAGGAGTGCTTTTAGAACGTGGCAGAAGGGAGCGAAGGTCACGCTCACCACCTTCACGAGAAACCATGCCGCCGGATCCTTCATCTGGTGGAAGACAACTTCCTAACCATAGAAGACAGGGTAACTTCACCTCACAAGCGAACTGCAGCAGCCGAACAGAATTGAAAGACTTTCTCCGTAAACCTGCGCGAATACTCGCCCCTAAAAAAGGCCCCATAGAACCGCCAAGGCCAGCGACGAAACTGAGCAGGTCAGCCTCACCGGGTGATGCACCAGCAGCAGCAGGGATCAAACCACCGAGATCTGCTTCTTCAAGGGAGAAAGAAGTGGATGCAACAGCCGCAGAGGAGTATCGGGACCGGTCACAGACTCCTGATTCACAGGAGCGCCAGGGAAGCAAAAGTCTTCCATTGCAACAACAACTATCAAGGGCATGCAGCAGAAGCAGTCAGGAACTGTCAGTGAAGTCAAATGTTGGCCTTGTGAACCAACCAGAAACAGCGATGGACTGTGAGAAACCTTTTGCAGATGATGGCGAGGATTTAAAGAAAGACCAAACGGGACAAGGAGAGCTGAGACTTGGTGGAGAGGAAGCAGATATTGAGAAATGCAGGGATGTGCGGAGCGCCGCCGATGTCTCACGCAAAACTGGGACAGAGGCACTACCTTCGCCAGCGGAGATCGACCCAAGTCTTGAAAAACTATCACTAGTGTGTCGGCCGGGAGAAAAATCAAGCAGCAAACTTCCTAAGGAGGCTTTGACTTTGACCGCTTCAGATGAGACAGACAACACGGCGGCAAAGGTGATTTCCTTCGAAACGAATGACGTAAGTGGTGTAGCTGCTCCCTCGGCGACAAGAGACAGTGCTCCCAAAGCAACAATAACTGGAAGTGCTCCCGCAGCAACAATGACTGAAATCGCTCCCACAGCAACAATAACTGAAAATGTTGAATCAGACGTTATTCCTGACACTTCAAGCTCACTGGCGCAGTGCAGCGTCAACGTCAGGTTGCGTCTCCGGAGCGCTCATGTTTCTAATAAGGATCCCGCGCCATCCTTTAAAAGAGATCCTGCTCCAACCTGTCTAGTACCCGCCAGAAGGATCGTATTCACCTCTTCAAAGAAAACGACAACAGCCCCCTCCCCCATCCCACCACCTACTACTGAAATGCCGCTTGGGATGTCAAAGGCATCACTGACGGGTGACAGCGACAACGATGAGTCGGCGGATGACAATATTCCGTTAGCTCGGCTGAGGCGGATGGCACTTAAAAATAGAAATAGATCTCGCACTGCTCCGGGCAAGAATAATTGCAACGCAACCTCGATTAATATGCTTGCTTCAACATTCCAAAGGACTAAGTCAACAAAGGGACTTCGACAATCACCACGCCTAGGACCGTCATCCAATTCAGCGGGGTCTGAGTGTACGCGATTAGCAGCGGACGGTGCTAATGCCGGGCAACATACACTCGAATACAAACCTGCATCCACAGTGCAGAACAGAGGGGATACTGCGCCAACTGTTGGAACATTTTCACCTATATCCGCTGGTCCCGGCGGGGCTTGTCACCCAAATATGAACTTTGAAGGGCAAAGAGCGCGGATGTTTGATGACGTCGGATTGCTGCCATCTGTTGGACGACGGGAGCCGCCGAAGGGTGCAAGTCCCCCATCACCAACTACGCAGTACCAATTTCGCGCAAGAGAGGCCCCAGGGCAGTTGGTGAGCAATCCAGAGATGGGCACATCAAACATAGCAGAAGGAGTTGGGGAGCAGCTGGTCCTGGTGGGCAGAAGCCTGCTCTCAGCCACCTCAGACGTTCCTGGTATGGTCGTCTCGAGGTACGCAAGCGTGGAAGAGGAATGTCTTGATGCAGGGATTGCTGGTGCTCGCGAAACGTTAAGAGGGGCTAGCATCAGGGACGAAGCAGAGTGTCCGCCGATGAAGCGGCTTCAGGAACCCCCAGTACCTCGTGCGAGCTTGAATCCAGAAATGAGTCATCCACAGAGCACATTGCAACAAACTGACTTTGGTTGCAATTCTTTAAAGATAGAAGAAGAAACTGTTGACAGTGCAAAGGAGTCCGAGAACAAGCCAGTACTTGAAAGGGAAGGCGCTCGCATTGCTTTTCAGAAAGCCTCGGACCGAGCAACTCCGTCAGGAGTGCGGTGCATCACAGCCACACGAGCTTTCCAAGTTATGGTAGACTTAATGAAGACTGAAGCCGGTTGCAAGGGAAACCCAAGCGAACGGACTATAGCCCTGTCGTTGTATGGGAAAACGGGTCAAAAGAAAATATGCACGGAGGATATGTTTCTTCAAAGTTTTTCTGAACTACTAGAGTTTGCGAAAGCCCACAGAAGGCAAAGTTTAGAAAATCTTTTTAACAGATCTTTGCCGGAGGGAGCGCATACATTGTTAATCTTCCACGCTATAGATTTGTTGAAGAGAGGTTCAGGAGAAGAAGGAATTGGTCGCTTCAGTTGGAGCGACGAAGAAATGGAATATATGCTTGAGACGGAAGGGTCTGGTATGGTAATAGATAAGGACTCCTTTATCCGTGCTGCAGAAAGGATGATGCTAGATAGGCGTGAAAAGCTAAGACCGAATTTCTAATCAGCTATGACCGATCGTCTTGTTACAGTACGGGCACGGCTTCGGTAGCCGAGGTATGACTAGACATCCAAACAGGGTTTAATAAGGATCGGCTGAGGGCAAGTTTAGTTGATCAGGTTACTAATTTACCGGAGGGTACTACTGGACGGAGCTCACAACGTTTACATTTTGTTGTTGTATTGCTGGATAACCTATTGCATTACGTTACTATTTTATATACTTGGTAGTAGATGCAGGACGTTACTATTGTATACACTTCGTGGTAAATGCAGAACGTTACTATTGTTTTTTTGTTCGAAGCTCTTAATTAAAACGCTCAAGATGATCCAACTGTTTCCGACAATGCCTTCGTCGCCATATCCCAAATCAGAATCTTAAGGCCACTTCAACGAGAGTAAACTGCGACCAAACTGCGCCGCCGCATTGTCAGTTCTTTCAATAACGTTCAGTATTATCGCAAGTATTGTACTCGAGGGGTCAACATGGAGGAGTCCGGTACTCCCCTCAGCTTGTTTGAGGATAGAAGCTTGTAACAACCATCATAGACTTTCCCACAGATATGGTGCCATTAGTCAAAGGTCAAAAAATGTATGGGGGATTTATTGCTCACGTCTGTGCGTGGGCGCTAGTTGAAGTCGAAGTTGCTACAGAGACTCCTCGCGGCGACAGGGGATGCCTTTGGAAAGTGTGGTGGGTGAGGGGGTTTAGTTGTCTCCGTGTGCACGTAGCGGAGACTGTTTGATGTTGGCAATACTCATCAGCAGTATACTCAGTTGGATGATGTGGGTTTGGAATCAGGAGCAGGGACAAGCCGTAGTGAGAAATCCATAGTTTCTAGACGATAGCCGCATATGTGTACAAGTCGAGGAGGAGAAAGAGGCAAAAACAGAACGCTTCTGGTTTTAGTTGAATGGCAGCGACACAGAAAAGGCCCACACAGTTGCTTGGTACGTTACGGTATCGACGGGACTCCTTGGCAGAAACAACTTCATCGCACCTTAACATCAAGGGAACTTGCAGTGATTGCAAACGTCCCGATATATAGCATTCCATCCTATCACAACAAATTAGTGGGTAGGGCAGCAATTAAACGTGTTTGTGTTTGACCTGTCCGCTCCTTGCGTATAGCTGCTGGTAAATCCTTGGAGCATCTCAAAGCTTTCGTTAGGGTTCCTCCGCTCTCAGTGCTTTCGCATATTACTCGAGAAGGAGCGGTGGGCAGATGAGAAGAGAGCGCAAATCATGTGCTATTTTAGTTTGCGTAGTTGAGAGCCTTTCTCCACGGTGAACATGGTCTCACATGGGTTGACTTTCATTTTGACGTTTGAAGTGCTCAAAGGCCTCTGCGTCTGTGTCTTCCATGCTTTCTCATCACTAACTAGCTCGTGGCTACTTCCATGAAATGGTTTCACACATCAAACTGTTAACCCGTCTTTCTCGATTCATCATCTTTCGACGTTGTTTTTTCCGTGCACTTAACTCAATGAGCAGAATTTGAATACTAGTCTGGTGTGCGGCGTTCTTATTTGGTGCAAATCAAGTTCAGCTGATTCGGTTTGTTGTGTTGTTATCCATGTGGAATTCATGCGTCCCCACTGAATAAAATATACGGTACGGACTAAATATCTCGTTTCCTCAGAAGGATAGTTTAGTGGCCTGCAAATCCGTAAACAGGCGTCCGCGGCATGATCTTCGGGTGAGGTCGAGAGGGTTTCTACGTTTAATAGTTCATTGCGGAAAGGGCTAGCTGCTGTAAATAGAAATAATTTTTTTTTTTCTCATAATGAAAACTTCAATGGCACATTGCACGGTGCAATGTGCCATTGAAGTTTTCATTGTGCAATTTGCACCTCCCTATCCACAAAAGCAGAGAAACGGCAACTCAAGAAAACCAGCGCCTGGCCTCGCACCGCGTGGAAACTTGTTAAGAACGGTGCTTCTCGTGACAGCCTCTTCATCGCTTGAGGGAACGGGTTGCGACATCAGCGCAAGATTCACATCATCCTCTAGACGCGTAGAAGGTCCAGTCTTCTGCTGGAAGCAAGAATTCGCTTGGACGTCTTCTTCCGACTAAAAGCGCAACGAGGGCAGAGTTTGTGGCAGGTAACTATTATCCAAGTACTTTACCTACATTTATTTTTGATTGGGCTCGACAGTGGCAGCGTTGAATCGGACTCACAGTTAGTTAATGAATGAGAAATGGGAAAGCATGGAGGTTCGATGACTGCAGCAGCCATTTCGAAGCGCATTAAGGCCAAGGGCTTAGGCCGTTTGCGATGGTATTGCCAGATGTGCGAGAAGCAGTGCCGAGATGAAAACGGGTTTAAAAATCATACCCAAAGCAATGGGCATCAGAGACAACTCTCACTGTTTTCGGAGAATCCACACGAGTACATCGGGCGTTTTTCGGAGAGCTTTCAAACTGAGTTCTTGCTCGTCCTTCGTAGGAGATACGGAACGAGCATGGTTTCGGCTAACACAGTTTATCAAGAGTACATCAAAGATCGCGATCACCTCCACATGAACGCCACAAGGTGGACTACGCTTTCAGATTTTGTCAAGGAAATGGGCCGGAGTGGCTTGTGTAGAGTTGAGGACAGAGAGGATGGTTGGTGGATGTCCTTTGTAGATAGAAGTGCAGCCGAAAAGGATAGAAAGGCCAGGGATATCGATAGAATGCGAGTTGCGGAAGAAGAGAGGGCCGAAAACATGCTCAAGAAACAGCTTGAGATGGCGAAGCATTTGCGGGAAAGGCGGGTAGATATGGAATCACCTTCGCCACAAAAAGAAGTGCATGTAGATAGACACGTATCTGTAGAGATGGCAATGCACGAGAAGCGAAGAAAGACTCCTGCTGTCGGAGAGGGAAATGCGCTGGCCGCTGCAACGATAGTCAGGCACAAAAATACCAGTGGACAACTGACTAAACGAAAACCAAGCAGATTTGGGAAAGCACCAAAGCTATCAGCACTTGAGGAAATCATGCGTGCCGACCAAAAGGAGATCCAGCGGACGAAAGGAGGAGCTACCCCGCACCCCGGTGGAACGCAAAATGACGCAATCAGATCCAGTCCCGTTGAAGCAAAACGCGCGGGTAAAGCCGACTACGAAAAACCGTGGATTGTGGAGGGTATTCTGGTGAAGATGATCAACACCGCGGTCGGGAACGGGACTTTTACCGGCAAGAAAGGCAGGATTATCGAGGTTATCGATAATTACGGCGCGCAGGTCAAAATGATCGACTCTAAAGTCCTATTAGAAGTCGACCAGGATGATCTCCAAACCGTCATTCCAAAACCTGGCGGGGAAGTCCTCTTGTTGCGAGACCCTCACCGCGGCAAAAAGGCTGTCGTGAAGTCTATTAATATAGAATCATTCTCGGTGACTGCAATTCTTGCGGAAACGGGAGAGGAGATCCGCAATATTGAATACGAGGCCATGTCAAGAATAGCGTAATCATGGAAAGCTTTCCTTACTTGGTGAGATTGCCGCACACATGTAGATGTTTAGAAGGTTTCGTTATCAACGTCTGTGTTTTGGGATGAAACGCAAGGCATCTCCGAAAGATACTCAATCCGCGATTAGTCATGTGGAGACTTGCTTCTCAGTATCAGGGACCTGAGGAGCGACATGGGCCGTTACTGGTTCGTCTGGCGTGGGGGGCTTGTCTGGCGTTCTTAGTGCAGGGGCAACGCCTTCGTCAGGCCCCATATTGGTATGGCCGGTGGCTGCGGTAGACGAGTCCCTTGGCGGAGGTGCCACTGAAGCTGGTTGCGGGGGCGAGTTTAGCCTCTTTAAATGAGCTTGCAACGATTCTTCTAGACTTGCGTGCTGCATAGTTTCTTGAGCCTCTTTGGCAAAAAGAGAGATCAGGCCCCCTTTTCCTTCTTGCAACGCTTTTTCGTATAAGCCGCGAAGCTCTTCAATTTTCGTCATGTCAGTTGCTGTCTCGGGTGCAGGCATTTCCAGCACCCTGTCTTCACTTCCGGCGGTATCGTTCTTATAGGCACTGAAGATGACTGGAATCGGAGAGTACGGAATTTCCCTCACGTCAATTCCTTGCTGGGCTACGATGGATGCTAGAAAACTCTGACTGCCCATGTTTTGAAAGATAGTCCCAAGGCAAGCTGCGACGTGCATGTTAAACTCGCAGTACTTTGGATGCCATCTATGAAGCAGGTTTGGCTCCACTGCGTGAAACACAGAAATTTTCCAATGATTGCTGAATTCTTTGTGGAGCAACACATCTTCGAAACCCCATCCAGTGAGACTGTTCCGGGCATGATGCCAAGCTTTGGTTTGCTTGAAGTCACTCTTGTACCCGCACACCATTCCGAAAGCACCCTTGCGCCAGTAGCCGTGTTCTTTGGAAACAGTATTGCCGTACGGATAAAGGCTGTACACAACCGGATAGTAAACCTGGAAATTGCGGTGTGCATTATAACGACAATTATAGAAGAAAGGCTTCCGAATGATCATGTCGACATCGCAATAGAACATGAGTCCATCAGAAGGTACATATCTTGCACCATCCATCAAGGCTCTAGACCTCGAAAACTTGCCAAACTTGTCTCCTGAAGCTTCTACCACTTGAACGACATGGCCGTCAATCAGCTCGCCCTCTGAAAAGCCAATCTGCATTTCCCTGAGTAATTCCTCAGCGCCTAGCATGTGAACTGGACCTCCATATGTCGCCAGAATGACCTTGACAGCGACATCGTCATCCAGCAACTCCTTGATGTTCGAATAGAAGAGGCTCAGTTGCTCGACACGACCAGTGTATGGGACAACAAGATATATAGGGACCTCTTCGGAGGGAACATTGTCCTGTATGGAGACATCGCAGTACTTTTGCGTAAATCCACGACGAATGGTGATAGCAGCAGTTTTGTTCTTCTGGTTCTCCTCGCCATCATCGGCCCTTCTGGTTAGAGTGAATTGGCCGTGAAACTTGTACTCAAGACCCCAAAACTGGTTGACACGAAAGTACTTGTTTCCCGTGTACATATTTTCGACGTTCCAGGGCGTGTCATTTGGATACTTCTCTTGGAGGACGCGTAACAAAATATGTGAGGTGAGGTTGAGTTCGTCCTGCCATTGATGGCGGCAAACAACTGCTGGACAAGGAAAGTCGTACTCTAAGGAATAGAGCCAGTCTTGGGTATCGACAAGAGTCCAGATGGAGCTGTTATGACCGGCGCGATCCTTAACATGGTCGTCTCGGAAAAAGCACTTTTCTCCGATGTATGCCCAATGGAGGATATCGCACGGCGGCGGTGAGGGTGTTGCAGACGGATGAGATAATAAAAAGGAGGGCCAGCGAGAAAGTGGGGCAGGCGCGTCGTCTGCATGCGGTGGGGGTAGGGTGTAGGTGTTGGTGGGGTGCGAGGTGAGGAGGTTTGTAATGAAAACGTTCTTGGTGCGCAGGGATAGGAAGAGGAAGAGAATCAGGAGGGTCTGAAAGCCCAGAAGGACAACGGATAGGCGAGGGGGGAGGGAATGCCGAAGAGAGTTGGCGATGCGAGCGCGGCGGAGGTGAGGGATGGGAGTGGTGGATGGCATGGTTCGGACAGGCGGCGGAGCCAAGGGGAGGGCAAAAGGGAAGGGGAAAGAGAAGGGCATAGATGCTTCATGGTGATTAGGTTGGAGGAGGGGGAATAGAGGCGGGCTGACTGGATGGGCGAAGATGATGGCCCAAGAGAGGAGTGAAGGAAAGAAGGGGAAGGGGGTTAGAGTGGCTGGCGATGAAGAAGAGCAATACAGTGTAGTGAGGGATTAGACGACGTGTAGAATGTAGAACACGTGTACGGCGTGTATGTTAGGGCTCGAGTCTAGAGAGGGGCTGGAGGTGTGCCGCGTGGCTGGCGTGGATTGGCGGGAGGGGAAGGGGGCAACTGGGGAGTGACGAGGGGGGGGCCGCATCACTTGGAAAAAATTCCAATTTTCCAACGTCGTGAAACCACACGCGCGCCAGCGCTCATTTCCTCCCCCGCCTCGCCACGCCTTGCCGCCCGTCGCAACCTCTCCCGCGCACCCTGGAAGCGTCCCCTTTCCCCCGCTCTGTCCCCCCCCCCCATCCCCCCCACCTTTCCATTCCTCAACTACCTTTCCGCTCTGCACGTCAAACACAACAACCCCTCCTTTTCCCCCCTCCTCCTTCCCCACAACTCCCCCTCTGGCCCACCCCCGCCCTTCACTATCTGCGCTTCAACTCCCGCCCGCCCCTCTCGTTTATCTCACTTCAGTGCCCCCTCGTTTTTTCCCTCCCATCCGCTGTGCTGGCCCTCGCGACCCTTCCGTTCCTCCTCGTGACCCCCTCTCGGCCTTTCTCTTCTCTCGGCTTGCATTTCTGTCATTACAACGCACCCATCCCCGCTCGCCTCTCCCCGTGTACAACATCCTCCCAAAAGTTGCTTGATCTTCGCCACCCGCTTACCACTTTGGTTGCCTGTCTCAAAACAACCCACACTTCGGTGCAAAACACACTACACGCATTCACTGCTCTCAACCACATTCCGCTGGCACTCGCCTTCCGACCCCCAATTCTGTTTTTCTCTATCGTAACAAGCCGTTCCCGCTCTCTAGATTCTCTGTCGCCGTTCCCGCCCATCTCCCGACTTATTTTCCCTTATACCCGCGCTGTCATCCGCTCTCACATCATCCGCTCTTGCTAGGGGTTATCAATTTGTCTTTTTACCTCCCCCCTCTTCCCTCACCCGTTGAACTCGCACTCTATTGACTGCACCTCCCCATTTTCCCATTGATCCTCTCCCTCCCTTCCCTTTTTCTTGCCGCCCGTTTCCCTTCCCCGACTTCCTCGGGACGTCTCCCTCCCTTCGCATGGGACCATGGCCACACCAGGTCGCCCTTCCCCGCCTTCACTAACCGCTGCTGTCCGTTCCAAATCCCCCTTCACCTACTCCTTTGCCCAGCAGATGCCCCCCCTCCCCTCGCGTCCTCGCACAAACACGGACTCCAATTTTCCAACCCTCTTTCGCCCTTCCCCTGTCTCCTCAGCTCCCGCCCCCGCATGGCCACATACCTCAACCCCCCAAAAGGCCACTGCAGCTGAGGTCGTCGCTGGTGCCGTCAAGACCTCCGACTTGTCGCAAGACCAGTCCGATCTCGCCGTCGACCATCGCCGCGAGGCCGAGTTTGCTCTCTATTCAAAACTAATTCCAACCACCTCCGCCGTCCCCCGTAATCCTGGTCGCTCTTTGGGTGGCGGCGGCCTCAGGGCCACCGGCTCCGTTGCAGCTCCGAAGAGTCGTCCGGTTACACCGACCACTCCACTTCCTGCCGCACAGCCTCTTCCGAGGGAGCCCATGGCTAGCAGGATGAAAAGTTTGTCTTCCGAGGCCACCAAGCCGCAACTAGCGAGGCGCGTCGCAAGGCCCAGCAAGTCCTCCTCCACGACCCCGCCGCTGACTACAGCCTCCGATGATGCCGCACCGCCGGAGCTCGTCAAACTACTAGTCGCAGATTCGGCTAGAGGAGCTTCCCCTAATTTTACGACTCCGGCAATGACGAATATTGCAGCAGCAGAGCCTGTGGCGGGTATCACCCCACGGCTACGGGAGGCTCCGATTGACACCAAGGACGCGTACATGCGGAGCATTCGATCGATTTACGGGAACGTGGATTGTGACCTGCCGAGCCGTCGGAGTGACAGCGCGACAGGCCCTGTGGGTCGGAAAAATACAGACGCGTCTGCTCCTACCTCGCAACCGCAACAGATCTCGCGTCGTCTTGACGAGGCGTTCAAGGCCCCTACGCCTGCCGCACCTAGTCGCTATGAGGGCAAGAGGAATCCACCCCCGGTGACCTCCCGTAAAGATCAGATAGGTGCCTTGCGACGCTCGTCGGCCCCCTCACCGCCTCCACGGGTATCAGGTGGTTCGCGGAAGACCAATGGTAGAGAATCTTCATCGACGCCAGTGAAAAACGGGAGAAAAGCGTCTATGGCGGAATCGCCCGTCGATGTGCCTCCAGGATTCGAGTCTCGGACTTCGGCTGTGAGCAGAGGTGCCTTTCTGGGACGCGGGAAGACTGACAGTGATGTTGGTTCCGGCTCGAAAAGCACCGAGAGGGAACGCGATCCTGTTCTTCCTCGTCCCTCGAATTCCAGAGCAGATGCCTTCCGCGAAGCAATTAACACTCGCCGCCAATCTGTCTCCCCAAGGTCAACATCGTCTCGCCGCACGAAGACGCCGGATTCGAAAGGGGAGTCTCCGCACGATTCCTCCAATGGCAGACTATCTATGGCGAAAGAGGACTGGCGGTTGCGGAATGGTGATAAAGAGCCCTCCAGACAGGTCACTTCTGCATCGAAACTGCCTTCAGGTGTGCTGGGAGCTCTGCAACAGGAGAAAGAGAGATCTAGAAGAAAGTCTGACATTGCAACACTGCTGAGGCCGGAGGAGAAGATTATGCGAAGACGTCTTGAAAGAACAACTGAAGCTCCAGTAGCCACCGCTGTGAGCGTAGATAGCGGGTCCACCACGAAAACTCGAAACGCCTTGCCCCTGAAGACTAACAGAACTGACTCAATGACGAATCCATCGGTGGCGCACGGGGGGCAAGTTGAAGAGTTCAACCCGAAGATGTCGGAGGATCGATTTACAACTTTGAAAGCACCAAAGGACAGAGGTGTTTTTGCTGGGAACGGAAACATTAACCCGCGCCGACCGTCCAAACTAGTACCGGAAGACAGCAGGAAGTCGAACGATCATCCTATAGGTCATCCCATGCTGGAATCACGTCAAGTGAACGGTTGGGCGAACGGAAGTCCCGAGGTGATCGATGGTGTTGCAGAGGCATGCGTGAACAGCTTGCTCGAGAACGAGGACGATTACGTGCCCCCATCGTCGCTCCCTGGTGTATCTGGAACAGCACCAGCGTTGCCTAGCAATGGCCCATCCATGATTGATATGATGAGAGCATGTCATGCGAACGAGCCCTCGTCATCAGTACTGAGCACTTCAGACAGACAGGAAGATGTTTTACCTCCTTTGCCAAATCCAGAAGAGGACGTACGATTTGAAACAATGCTTCGATCGATGGGCTGGTCACCGCCCGAAGAGGATGAGACTATCAGATATCACCGCAATGGAATTTCTCTTCATTCCGACCAGGATCCTTCCAGAAGCAACTCCAGTCTCCCTGAAATGGTAGGAATTCGACAAGCGGAGAATGGTGATGTGCGGAGTGGTTACTACTCTCATTTTCACTAGTGGAACGGATTGGCTCCTCGGAGCTCACTAGATGTAACACGGTAAACTATTTTAAATTACTTAGGCGTTGGCCGAAATTCGTGGCATTGCAAGACCGAGGTGCAGTGCGCTCCAGGAAGAGGGGTATAAGTCGTGGAGGGTGATGTTTTTGCAAAAAGTGCATGTGCTTGACAGCAACCAGGCTGGACAATGGCCGGCTGTTGCCACAAACGCCGCAAATGCCTACTCTCACGGAATGTCAGATATGCTTCGCGGGAGAATCGCTATGTGATGAAAGACCGCGCTTTGCTACTTCTTTCGTGGTTGTACTTATCTACTTACAACCACGGACCAGATCGGCGAAAACAGAGTTCCCCATTGGCGTTTTTCAAATGATGCGCTCAGGCCTTCCATTTATCTAGAAACCCTACTCTCTCTGGCGCGATCACTTCTTCTGGATAGACTTAGTAATCGGGTTAAGAACTACGGGGTCAGCGTTCGACTCCATCGGCATAGCCTCACTACGCTTCGCCGTGGCCTCCTGCCATTCCTTTGTGACGGTTGATGGGAGTGGTCCTGCTCGTAAAAATTGGTCACGATAAAGCGTGTCAGTAAGGGACTCTCTTCCACAAGGTGGAGCTCAAAAATCGCGATTCTCCAGTCATCGCATTGCACAAAAGAAATCGCCACGCCATACCTCCAACCCTTCGACGCCACTCAAAGAAGACACCAGCTGCGCCCATGATGGCAGCGACGCCACCGACAATTTGCAGACGCTTGGGAACGCCTGCAAGCCGGGGCCAGGGGGTCCAGTCAGTACCGGAGCGATCAACAACTGTCATAGTTCGAAATGGTGTTCTCGTAGACCGACGAGCAAGGAGAGGGAACAATGGGAGGTCGGCAGTTGCTTGTTGCGAAGCAGCATGATGAGGGCGATTGCGCAGGTGCGATTTTGTTGTTGAGGGTCAAATTGGCTGCTGGGATAATGGCATTACAGGTTGAACAAGTGGCCAAGTGCACACGTGGAATTCATCCTAGAATTTTGACGCTTGCCATTGTACAAAGTAAAAACCTCCTTCAGAAGCAGCGCATTGGCGCTGCGCATCACTGTTGTACGGCATGGTTCTCACATTGTTGCTCTGTTGATCGGCATCTCTGTGCAAGAAGCAATAGAACCGCAATGTAAGCAGCTGGGAGATTTCCTCAGCGATATGCTAGAGTGAGTAAGAGAATTTTTGGTAATAGTTGGAACCAAGCGGTTTCACGTTCCGGAAATGCACAGTTTGTGGCAGTTTAGGTGTCCTCTATGAAAATGAACAGTGCGGTTTTCAGTTGTTTTCCCAGGCTAAAACAACTGTCTGCGATTGCAGTCAAGGACTCCGGACAGTATGCTGTGGTACAATGGGGAGCAACACTTTTTTTTGTGAGAATCAAACATGGTCGTGGGGTCTGCGTCAGTAATCTACTGCTTCTCTGACGACAACATCGTCTACCAAAAATCAAGACGGAAGGCATGCTCAGGTTAAATACGCGATTGCTACCACTTCCTTGGTGGTCCTCAGTGTGGTAGTAACGTAGTAACTTTGAATTTTACATATAATTGGATACGGCGCACAATACCTCATCGGGGGAAACGGATTCCAGATTGTCCCCTTCCGTGTTGGCCCCCCCGAACCCCACCACGGCCGCGGCCTTCGATATCGACTCCACTAAATCCATGTCCCCCGCCTCTTAAGTTGTACCCTTGACCCCTACCACGCCGCCCGCCGAACCTACTCCCAGGATTTGGATGCCTTGGCACATCACGATCCTCACCTAATGCACGCAAAGCGCTCTCGTAGCGCGAATCGCACCAAATGCAGCCCTTGAAACATTGCGGTGCTCCTGGGGGTCGTGCAGCTGACGAGAAAAAAACCTCCAGCACCGCAGAGCCGCAGCGCTCACAGGATCCATTTGCACGCCCAAGGCGTTCGACAGAGTTGCGTGGGAAGAAGTAGACGAAATCGCAATTTCCACGCCCCGCAGTACAAGATACCAATCTGCTTCCAGATGATGTTTCCCGCAAAGCGCACGGCCGTCCGCATTTTGGACACTTGGCTACATCTGAGAGTCCTGCTGGCGTTCCCCGGGCAAGGCGACATTGACTGTTGGTGCAATTAAAGCACCGGAATTCTGAAGTTTTCCCCTCGGGATTGAAACCAGGCTCGGGGGGCGGATTGTTCATGCACATAGGGCATACGGTATGTGTTGAGTTACTTGTGGAGTTAGTGACAGAAATTACTTGGTACCTACATATTGGGCATTCATGCTGTGAGCGTTCCAGGTTACCATTGCGGGGAACTTTCAGCGTCTTGTTGCATGGAATGCAGTCCAAGGCTCGGTCTGCTCCCTCTTGTCTCACACTGGCATGTGCCTGGGCCCGTCTTCTTCCTCGACCGTGTCCCCTCGATGTGGCTTGTCCACGTCCACCACCGTTACTGCTGTGGGAGCATTTTAGGTCCATGAGCTGACTGCAAGCTCCACATCGAGAAAATTGGGGGATAAGAGTAGCCCATGTGCGAGCAGTGACGGCTTGAAAACGCTCACTGAAAACGGTATCCAAAACGTCTCGGTTTTGACGAAGATGTCGGAATTTGGATTGATACTCGGAGAGGGCATTTGTGAGAACGTCGGCAGGCTCCATCTCCGACGTCAAAATCTGTTTGAGTTGCCGTTCCTGTTTTGCTCGCATGTCCGGGCGCGCCAGATGTAGCTGACACTGTTCATGTGCAATAACCAGAGCCTGTCCAATTTGTGTTGGTGAGAACCCTCCCCCGCGCACCTTCTCCACGTAACTCCGATCCAACACTTTCTTAATGTGTTCGGCAATCGTAGCGTCTGTTCCAATTCCGTGGTGGTCCATCAATGCGATTAAGTCTGACTCTTGCAGTAACGGGGGTGGCTGAGTTTGACTCTGGCGAAGCATCAAAGAGTCAATTAGTAACTTCGCGTTTACGTGCAGTAGAGCTACTGGCATGTCCTTGTCTGTCCACTTCTCAAAAGGGTACATGACTTCCAAATACCCCTTTTCTTCGATAATCAGTCCTCGAGCCGTGAAGAATTCCGAGGTACCTGCTCGAACTTCAACTCTCGTCTCTGAAGCCCTTGCTTCGATAGAGCATGCAGCGAGAAATCGCTTTGTGATGTACTCATAGATTTTCTGATGATCCGTGGACTCGAACCTGGCTGGAGCCACATCCGTTGGGTGGATAGGAGGGTGTGCACCATCATCATTGCTCCCCGAACGAGGCCATGTGAAAGCTAACGCATCTTCTTCACTCGGGGGCGACAGTAGCCGGGAAGCAAACGGTCCCCAATCTAGATGGCCAACCTGCTTCCCCACGAGATCCCTCAGGTTATATGATTTGTCGAAGCGGTCTGTCTCTGTCCGTGGGTAGCTAATGAGTCCTTTATTGTAGAGCGATTCGGCAACTTCCATGGCGCGATGTGAACTTATTCGCAGGCTTCGTGAGGCAACTTTTTGAAGCTCGACCGTCGACAAAGGCAATGGTCTCCACCGGTTCTTCATCCGTTTATCCACACGGGTAACCGAGACCATCATACCATCCTGCTCAGCTTCTTCTATGCAAAGCTCATAAAGAGCCATGGATGTGTACTCATCAAAAAGATGTTTCCTTGCCCAATCAAACTGCACTTTGCAGTCCTTCACGAATAAGTCAAAGACCCAGAACGGCCTCCTCACGAAATTTTGGATCTTCAGCCAGCGGTCAACAACTAGCCCCAGTGTAGGAAATTGGCAAGGCCCGTAACTCACAATCTGCCGTTCGTCATCTCCGACCAGGGAAAATTTTTCAAGCTGAATGGTGAGGAAGCGGGTATACGCGGAGCCGGCGCGTAAATCAATCTCTTGTCTCGTCGATACCATCTGCGCAACTCTTTCGTTTGGCTCACCTAGTTGCGCCACAGCACGAAAAAGATCACCATGAGTCATCGCAGAGAACCTTGCACGTCTCACGACAATGCTCGGCTTCCCTTGCTTGCAGACATCGGCCACATCGAATGCAATCTTCTCTCCTTCTGAATCGCAATCGAGCCAAAGAACCAGCCAGTCTGCACGCCGTGATTCCCGTCGAAGTGTTTCTGCGATCGGTTGTTTGTCCTCAGGAACAAACCATTCTACTTTCGTGCGACTTCGATCCAGCAGATCAACCGGATCGCATGAACCCCATTTCCGAACCCGGTCTTCGAAGTCAGTACCTTTTAGATGACCAAGCACCGAAGTGAATGACATACGCGCACGATTCCCTGCTAGATTCATGTCAAAGTCATATATCTGATTGAAGCGAGACAGGCCAGGCCTTGTCTCACATTGCTGACCAGCTTTGAGAACATTTGCGATTTCTTTCGCAGCCGATGGTTTCTCCGCGACGTTCAATACTCGTAAAACCATTGCAGAGCGCAGTCCACCCAGCGTTGGCCCCGAGATCTGTCCTTTGAGCAGATGGAATCATTTGTGTCCCTTAGACATGCATAACCAAATGCTTAAAGAAGTTGATACGGGAGCAACTCGAAACTGATCACAGCGCTACAGTACAGTACTTGCCAGAATACAAAATAGCGCAGAAAATATAATGCAAGGGTACAGAACTGAACACTTTCTGTACACTTTGAGTACAGCACCCTTCTCACCGGCATAATTTGAGCACTTTAACAATGCCCCTAAAACGGCTCATTTTGTCGCAAGTGGCCACTTTTGGGCGAGTAGAAAATCCGTTTGAACTGTAGAGCGTGCAAAGTATGAAATAGGGGTGGCGTCTTAAAGGTTTTGCACTCTGATCCGTATTCTGTTTGTCTTTTGACAGAAGTGTAAAAATTAAGCTACTTCGCAGAAGCATACGCGTGTCCTATACTTTCATGTGATACAGTGTAGTGTAGAGGCCAGTCTGACATGCTCGAAAAGTTAGAACGGAGTCCTCATTCCTACAGACGAATAGAAGTCAATCGACTGCTAAGTGACGTATTCGGTGCTAGATGCTGACCGCTAGTTGAGCTCAACAGCGCAATAGTCCTCCACTGCAAAGCTTTGCACCAGTCTGCGTTTGCACTCACAGACAATGGCGAGAGAAAGAATGCCAATGAACGTTCTCATGTGACAACACTGCAGTCACTAGGCAACCCGCGCGTTTGCATTTCTTTCCGAAAAGTATCCCTGAACAGCGAATTATGAGTTGTTTAATACCGACAAGAGCAGGAAGGTTAAAAATATTTCACCTAAACAGTTACTGGTGTTTTCGCAGCACGAATATCTTCAATGGCTTTTGCGTAATCTGGGGCTCCGAACACACCAGATCCAGAGACTATAGAGTTGGCGCCCGCATTGACGACCTTGTACGCATTGGCACCCTTGACACCGCCATCGACCTCAATCCAGGGGTTGAGTCCACGGTCATCAGCCATTTTTCGAATGGCGGCAATCTTTGGGACGACAGAGTCAATAAAGCCCTGGCCTCCGAAGCCCGGGTTGACCGACATGACGAGAATGACGTCACACAACTCGATAACGTACTCAATGGCGCTCGCGGGGGTGGCTGGGTTGAGGACGACGCCCGCTTTGCAGCCAAGGTCCTTAATGAGGTTGAGAGTTCTGTGGAGATGGATGGTAGACTCGCCCTCGCAGTGCACAGAAATGATATCGGCACCAGCCTTGACAAAGTCCGGAATGAGCAGCTCCGGCTCGACAATCATGAGATGTACATCAAGCGGCTTTTTAGTGACGGGGCGCAAGGCATTGACGACGAGGGGCCCAATGGTGATGTTTGGAACGAAGCGGCCGTCCATAACGTCGACGTGGACCCAGTCGCAGCCCGCCTGGTCAATGGCGCGGACTTCATCTCCGAGTTTGGAGAAGTCTGCGGAGAGGATGGAGGGGGAGACAACGACCTGACCTGGCTTGGGGTCGCCGACGATGACAGCGCGGACAATGTTGCGAGATGCGGTTTGTTGAACGCGGACGGGGGCGAGCGGGGAGGTGGAGGATTGGGTGAAGGCGCGCGTGGCTGTCAAGGGCGCTGGAGACGCAAACGCTGGTGTTCTGGCCATGGCGATGGAGCTGGAGCAGGAGTGAGTTGGCTGGCAGCTGAGGAAGGGGGAGCGTTGAGAGGGTGGTGTTAAGAAGGGAAGATGGGAGCGTGAAAGCGGGAGCGGGAGGTGCAAGGCTCTGAGCACGCGCAGGGTCTCGGTAAATATTCAATTTGCATTACTGGTCAGAGGAGTTTGAGCCACTCATTCTTTTAGCGATTCGGTGTCCACAATTGACTCACCGACGCCCCAAATCGTCCACGTGGCACTATATTACTGGAGGTACCACAACGTCGTCCCGCAGATCAAGACTTGATCCTGTAGGATGAAAGTTGTGGGATGAGGTTGTGGGTTGAGGATTTGGGATGAGGTTGTGGGATGAGGTTGTGGCACAATGCGGAATGCTGTAGAGCACTTAGTGCAACACGTCATACTTTACGGTACACTGTGGTGTTTCACGTCCACAGTAGTCACCCCGAAGGTTCTGTACATTAACAAGCAAGATACACAAAGATGTTGCCCTTCTGCCTGCGCACCCGCCTTGCCCGAATTGTAAGCGGCAACGATCCAGGCAATGGAAATATGCAGCTCTTCTATACCGCATTCGTAACGCCGCTTTCAACTACATTGGCCGAATTGGCCGATGTCAAAATTGTATGGTAAAACTTGTACATATCAAACTGCGTATCAAACTAGTAATTCTCTGTCACTCTGAAGCGAACACTTCGGCTATTCTCATTCTCAGCAACTTCCACCTCATCGCCACAACTCTGCCTCTTCTTTGGCAAAATTCTTCCATTCACCTGTACCTTCATTGCCGGGGCACACACCGGTTTCAAATTCCGCAGAATCGACCGCACGCGTGACAGATCCTCATGACTCCTTGCCCCTCCAAACTTCTCTAGCCCAATCTGCGTCTCACTATCAAGGTCCTGCAGCAGCTCATGCTCCACAGATCCTTTCATCACCAGCCTTTCAACGTAAATGTCGCGTTTTGATCCAATTCTATGGGCACGACTGATGATCTGTAATTCCATCGATGCATCCCAGACTGGCTCAAGCAGAAAAATGTACTGCACAAAACTCAAGTCAAGCCCGACTGATCCATGTTTTGAGCTCAACAGAAGAATATTTCGTTCTTCATCCTCCGCAAACATCCTTACGCTCTGCCTTGCAAATTCCGATGCGCTCTTAATCATTTTAAGATTCGGATCCATCTCTCGCGTGTTCTTGAACATTTCAATGTACGAATACTTCAAATCCTCGCATTCTTTCAGGGTCACCGCAACGAATTTCAAGTGGTCTGTTATTGTACTGTGAATAATTACTTTCGGTCGCATTTGCCGAGGTTCACTTTCACCTGGGAACCATGTCTCCTCACGGGGCAAGTTGCGTAATCTGTCCACGAGGTGCGCCATTTTCGGACCCCAGTTGGTATCCCATTTGGCTTTAAAATCGTCCGGTGAATATGCAGCCGGCTGCAATTCGATCAAGTCTTCGGGTACATTTTCCTTGTTGTCGAGGTCGTATGCCACCCCGCAATGTAGTGCGGTACATTTCTCTTTGTCGAGGGCAACGCACTCTTCACACAGCAAGTGCCCACATGGCGTTACCATCGGAATTGACGTAAACACGTGACATCGAGCGCAGTGCGCCTCTCTCTCAAGGAAGCTTCTCCCAATGTCATTGAGTATACCCGAATAAATACGTGTCCTAAAGCGCACTCCATCTTTTGGATTCTTGTAGTGCCTCGTCAACCGCAAGAAGTCGTGTGAAAATCCTGCAAGTTCATCCCACATATCAGCTCTCTTATACAGACTTCTCTGAAGCTCCATTTCCTTTTCCCCCGAGACACCATCACGTGTCAGGAGGGGCCAGTCTGTACTTGGGCAATCAAATCGATCATTTGGGTGTATGTGAGCCTTCTCCATGTACTTTTCATATAGTTCATTCAATGTGTCAATCACTTCAGAAGCGTCAAACATAGCGTCTTTCGTTCCGCCGTAGCAGCAGGCCATCCGTAAATTTCTAATGGCAAGTTGTGCTTCTCCCAAATTGTTCTTGTTCAGCAGCGACTCCTTGTGGGTCTCGCTGAACCAATCTGCTGTAAGTAAGTTCCTTCTCGTAAGGCTCACCAGCCAATTGTAGTCAGCAGCTGTCCCTTTTGTGAAGTCAAGAATTGAATTAGAGATGTGGCATCGTGACGTGAGCATAGACTTGTCTGCCCGAATCATGACACGGCGTAACACGGGTTGAAGTCGTTTTAAAGCTTGAGGATAGTATTGCGAGAAAGGCTCACGTATGCCCACTAGCCATGCCTTTTTGTCCAACCCATACTCTTCATCTCGAATGAATCTCAGTAAATGATATAAATGGTCGACATCGCATCGGGCAGTTGATGGCGTCGGAGTTCCAGTCATCACCCATCTTCGTTCAGCGCGAAGCCTTTCACAAGCATGTGCAAATAACGACAAACTTCCACCAGAAAGCTTATGTCCTTCATCAACTATAATCCGCAAGAACCGGACCCTCATCAATAGTGGCGCTGTCGCTCGGATTGAATTTGACAATTCCGCAATAACGTTGAAAGATGTCATAACAACATCGTAGTCGGTCGCTAGTTCCTCAGCAGATTCTGGTAAGTCACGGACTCGCTTCACATGCAGAACTCTAAGCCCACCTTCTCGGACGTGCATAGAAATCTGCTCCTCCCAATGCCATGTTAGGACAGGAGGTACCACAATAAGAGACCCCCGCGAAAGATATACCACCTCACTCTCTCTATCAGATATAAAAGGGACAGATCCCTGACCTACCGCAGGATTGTGAAAGTCAGGTCTCCTCACGCGGCGATTGGAAGAGCGTCTCTTGTCAACGTCCGAAAACGGAAAAAGCCTTCCGCGCCGTGATTGATTTGGAACAGCTGACTCTTCTCCGTATGCACAATATCGGCCGACCGCGACCTCCCTATATATAGAAACATCGCCCTCACCGTATCGGCGGGGCACAGTTTCCATCACTCGCCCATCTGGTGGACGGGGCATTTGCCCGAGCGTCTTCAGCACCAAACTCAGAGCCGTAATCGTTTTCCCAAGACCCGGCTCGTCACAAAACAGCCCCCCTCTCGGCGCCTCCAACTGTGGCATCTGCGCAAGCCTCATCAACGTCCCGTCCGTCATGTCCGCCACCACGCAAACGTTTGGCAGTCTGGGAACATCGAAACGATGTAGCATGGACATAGAGACACTGGCCGGCCTCCGTTCTTCCATGCTGATCATGCGCGCCAGCGAATCGACCTGATGCGGAAAAAGTCGCAGCAAAAGGCCCGGCACAAATGGCTTCATAAAATCGTGAAGCTCTTCATTCACGTTGGACAAGGCGATGCAATCCTTCGGGCGCAGGTGCAAGACAACTAGGTGCAGCACTTCCTCTGGCAGATTAAGCCATCCCGCGCAGCGTGTCCTCCCGGGAAGCGGTGCAGGACCCAAAGATGAGGGAGATACAGACTTGGGGCTTGAGGCATCTGTCCGATTGTGGGAAGAAGAGTCTCTGGTGACCTGGCGGAACACGTTCTCCATATGGAAGGCTTCGCGCAGGCCCTCGGGCGGGACTGGACGGCAAGCACCACCGCAACCTACGAAGCCGCACGGGTCGCGGGAGGGAGCAAGCGACGTGGAGGTTTCCGAGAGAGGCGGAACTAAGTCAACGACGTGGCCGAGCAGGCGACGTAGGGAGTTGGACGGCTTGACGATTTCGCCGAACCGGCAGAGTTTTTGTGAGTCAATGGAGACGGTGAGAAGGGCATAGGGGCGGAAGGGGTCGACGCTGATGACGGGGATGAGGCCGGAGCTGCGATTGCGGTTTTGTCTGAAAACATTGAAGACAAGGACGGAGGCTTCGGACGGGAGTGGGATGGAGTCAGGGCAGACGGAAAAGTGATGGGCGTTGTCAGAAGCCCAGGATGAGAACATGTTTTTGGGGAGCCATGGCTTTGGCTTTTTGGGGGCGTCGGGCGAATCAGAGTCGGGGGATGGAGTAGAAGAGGGCGGATTAGATGAGAAGGGCCAAAAGCGGAGCGTAAAGAGGACGACCGGGTCGCGTGAAGGGGAGTGGGCGGAGGACATGTATCGAGGCTGGAGCGGAGGCACGTAATGGCGTGGATGTATTATATATGTCTCAAGTTGGAGACGGGGTCGGAGGTGCGAGGGGTGCTGAGAAGCAATGTGGGTTACTCGAAAATGGGCATCGGTAGGGATAAGTCGTTCGCTCCAGCACAGCAGACGAGCGCACTGCTGCAGAAAGGCAAAAACATGCCAACGGCATCGCTCGTCTTATGATCCTGCGCCAGCAACAGCACAGCAATTTTTCAACTTGCTGTCGTCTGACCGGCAGCTTTCTGTTTCGCGTGTCCACGTTTACAATTGGAGAGCCCCCCAGAGCTCAGTTCGAGAATTGAGGCACTTGGTAATTGGCCAATTGTTACGTGCCACGTTGCCAAGTGGCAGGAGGTTGAGCACACATCCTGCACCCTCATTGGCCAGCGATGAGCCACCCTAACATGCCATTGGCCTGTTCATCCTGCAGATCCCTCAAGATAAGAATTCTACTGCACCTAATTGGCCCCGTTCAGAGCCACCCCCCAAAAACATTCAATATTATGATTTCCCCTCGAGACCTTGCAAACACGCCCTCAACCGACCTCTCCGAGCCCACTACAGTACTGTTCCCCGGACCGCACCCACCCGTTCTCTCCTCCTCAACATCATCCTAGCTAGCTTCCACACCAAGCTGGCATCCTCGCTATACCGTACTCTTTCTTCCTCTCTCTACAATGCTTCGCCCGCTACACCGCCTCCACATCTCCACAGCCCTCCGCCTTTCCCGAAATCTTCGCCCACTTTCTACGACCCCAAACCTTCAAAAGCCCTATTCCTACCCATCCTCCGAAGCGAAAACCCAACCTACGCCTCAACCCTGCTCTCTGCGCTTCACCCTCTCAGCCGACTCCTTCTCCACGTCCTCATCACCCCCAGAAGAACCCCCTACAGATGCGGGCTCCTCTAATCCCCCCACCACATCCCCGGAGCTCCTCACCGTCACTCCAGATGATAGCGATCCCTTATCCTACGGCGGCCCAGAAATCTCCGCAGACCTCACCCCGCAACGCATTGTCTCTGAGCTTGATCGCCACATTGTCGGCCAGCAGCCTGCTAAAAAGGCCCTGGCTATCGCCTTGCGAAATCGATGGCGCCGTCTACGTCTCTCTCAGGAGCTGCGAGAGGAGGTCCTGCCAAAATGCTGTCTGCTCATAGGCTCTTCCGGCGTCGGTAAGACGGAGCTGGCGAGGCGCTTATCCAAACTTGTGGATTCCCCTTTTATCAAGGTTGAAGCCACAAAGTTCACAGAGGTTGGCTTTCACGGTAGGGATGTGGAGCAGATTGTGCGCGACTTATTGGAGAATGCTATCACACTGGCTAGGAATAGACAGAGAAGGGTTATGGCCAGCCGCATTGCGACCACTGTTGAAGAGAGGATTTTAGATGAATTGATGGGCAAGGCTTCTCCGGGCTCGAATAAGAATCGCGATCAATTCCGCCATCTACTCAGACAGGGTGCTCTTGATCATCAGGTCATCGACGTCGACCAGCCTGTGCGTCGCACAGCCCCGTCGCTTGTACAAGTAGATATGGCACCGGAGCGAATGACTGATGTCTTTGACAAGCTATTCACGGTGAGGCAGAGTGGGTCGCGGAAGAGGCGAGTCAAAATTAGCGATGCGAGAGCGCTAATTGAGGAAGCGGAATCTGAGAAGCTTCTCAGTGACGAAGCAGTAGTCAAGGAAGCTATTGAAGCGACGGAGAATGCGGGCATCGTTGTCATTGATGAGATTGACAAGATCGCCGTTCCAGTGGGCCAAAGACATGGCGCTGATGCATCTAGTCAAGGAGTACAAAGGGATCTCCTTCCTCTCATCGAAGGCACAACAGTTTCTACAAAGCATGGTAACGTTGAAACGGATCACATCCTCTTCATAGCTGCTGGTGCGTTTACGCAATGCAAGCCGTCGGACCTCATGGCAGAGCTCGTCGGTCGATTACCAATCCGAGTTGAGCTGAAGCCTCTTTCCACGGGGGATCTGCGCAAAATTTTGACCGTGCCCGAAAACAACCTTATTAGGCAGCAGCGTGAGCTCATGGCCACAGAAGGGGTGACTCTGGAGTTTACGCAGGCTGCCATCACTGAAGTTGCGAACATTGCTGCCGAAATCAACCATACCGTTGAAGATATCGGGGCTAGAAGACTACATGCTGTTATTGAAAGGATTGTACAGGATATCTCATTCACAGCTCCAGAGCTAAAAGGGCAGACTGTTACCGTCGACGCAGTTCAAGTACAAGACGCTCTTGGTGACCTTTTGGTAAAGTCAGACCTTTCGCGTTTCATTCTGTGAAACGGATTGTTGAGTTTGTTATTAAATGAACGCCATTGCTGATGGGATTGGCGAGCGGTTCCAAAATGTAAAAACGTGGGATGGGAAGAATGCCAGCCCATAGTGGCGCATATCGTGACAGCGCAATGCTGTAGGCCCCGTCACTGCGAGGCGAGAGGAGAGCAAACGCGTGGTTTATGCCAAAACTGAGCGCTACACAGCGAGGCTACTCGCGAGGTACTACTCGTGACAGAAATGAGCCCCAGTCATCTAATTCGGCGGCCGATGCTGAGTGGGTCAAACCAGGGTAAGAATGAAATGAAACCTTGCGTCCCATCTGCTGTAGCAAATCCGCGCTCTTCCGCGCGTAGCTGTGGGTGATGACCTGATCAGCTGTACCATGCCCCATGAAAATATCTAAATCCTTTGAAGCGTGGCTGCAGGCTGCTGGATACTTTCCCCTCAGCGGAAGCCAGGCGCTCAACGCAACAATACCTGCAAGCTTTCTCTCGGTTCGTAATCCGTAGCTAAGCGCTAGGGCGCCACCTTGGCTAAAACCTCCGACAACAATCCGATGCTCAGGCACTCCTAGCCTCACCTGATTCTCGACAATGCGGTCGATGCGCCCCACGGCTCTGTCAATACCGTCCTCGTCTTCATCCGCATCTTCATCAAGGCCACGCAAGTCAAACCAACTCGGTGACCGAAAGCCATTGTTGATTGTAACTGGTTGATCATCGGCATTGGGAAGAACTGTCTCCATATATGGAGTGGGTGGAAGGGGAAACGTAGGAGCCCAGTTCACACCCGAGTCTCCCAATCCGTGCAAGAAGATCATCACAGCCGTTGACGGACTCTCTCTCGAAGGCACCGTGACGCCATTCCCCCCACCAAAAGTTGCCACTGTTGACATGTCTAGTGTCGGCTTGGTCACCAATCGCCTCCGTGCAGGCCGGCTCAAAGCGTTGAGTAAGAATTGTCGGCACGAGAATGCACCGGTCGTCACAGCTACAACGCCTACAAAAAGGCAGCTGGTAGAGGAGCCTGATAATCGATGGGCTCTTGTTGAGACACCTTGCTGCATAGCTGCAGCTGCCGAAAACGAGTTTTGCAGCCTGGCGACGTGAACAGAGAAAACTGTCCTATGACGAGAGCTCTGCCTCCTTCGCGAGTTGGAGTGCAGCTTTGAGAGCCATTCCAGGATGTTGATTCGAAGATGTGATCCGTTGCCAAATCTGGGCGAGATGCTGTCACCGATATCAAAAATTAAAAAATCTGTGATATGGCGGAATTGGGAAGCGAAGTGAGCCCGCCAGTTCTGCGTCCTCTAGCGGCATGTTCATACTCGTCTAGCGCTATTATCGAGCAGCGATCTTATCGAGGGAGAAACTTGAGGAGCACCATTCCATATATTGAACACCGGGTTCCCTTTCATCAGAGTCGCCGCAAAGCGACAGAATGAGATGGAAATATGAATTGGTGATGGCCCAATGAGCTCTTGAACTGAATCGCAAGGAATGCTATTCATATGCCAATACGTACCGTGAATGTACAATCGAAATGAAACGATTTATTTAGAGACGCCTCGGTGTCCTAAGTACGTAAGCCCATTTGGAATATTACTTTTGTGGCAAGGGAGTACGTCTAAATGCTACAATGCAATCATTGTGAACACTATTGTCCACACTCACCAGTGCAAGAACAAGTTCCTGTGGCGCGTCTATGTTGCAGTGGGAGAGCAGAAACCATTCAATTTCATTTATGTAGTCTCTGTCGGGCGCGACCGCTCAAGTATTTTTTGAGCGATCCACGTTGAGCATTGGTTTGGAAGGTTCAATTTATTAAGTCTCGGCAGGATGTCTAACTTATTTATGCAGTGCAGATTTTCACGATAGTATCGAGTCTACATCAACAAATGTGGGAAAGGATGGAGTGCTGGGTCTGCTCTTCGAAAAAGCATTTTGCGACCTTAAAAACTTCTGATCAGCATTTGTGGGTTTTGGCAAATCGATTTCGGTAGCATTTCGGTAAATTATTCGGTATTTTTGTACAGCAGAGACAAAATACCGAAGTATCGAGACAGGAATATTGTTATCTCGAGACAAATAGCGAAGCCGATTACGCAAAAGATTGGCGCGAGTTTACTGCTACTCACAACCAACACCTCACCCAAACCCGGCGACTCTGCCGCTCCGACACACATTCGAGCAGCCTATTCCATCGTTCCATCATGGTTCCACCCACCCTTCCTCAGCAAGCGCCTTCCGGGGCCCTTGTGCTCCCAGAACAGTCGGACCTGGAGCTTCCTTCCACGCAACTGGGGACTTCTCACCGCACCAGCAATGAAGACACTCCAGCAGCACAGACGACAGCCACACCTCTCATTTCAACAAGCGTAGTTGCGCCGGTGCCGCCCGTGGCTCGCCGGGATACTGTTCCGAGGATTCGTCGCATCTGGAAGGAGGAGCATAACGTCCCCTTGATGCAAGAGGTCATGGCTTGCGGAGCTCATGTCCCGGGTAAGTGTGAGGTACTAACAAAGTTTGCCGCGGTTGCCGAGAAGCTCAACGCCAACACGCACCTTTCGCTGCCCTGGATAACGAACGGCAAGCACTGCAGGGACCGTTTCAAGCTTTTGATGGATAAATGGAAGACGCAAGACAGAGTGCAAGCCGCTGCGTCGGGTTGTGAGGAGGAATTCGGTGCGTTTGAGCAGTTGTGTACTGACACCACGGAAGAAATGGATGCCCATAAGGTCGCCATAGAGGATGCGCTTCGGGAGAAAGAAGATAGGGCTGAGAAACTTTTAGGGGCAGGTGCTGCAGTACGTGAAATGGCGCTAAACCGCTACGCTGCTAGGAACGCTGGAACGGACTCTAATGATGAGAGCCCCGCAGAAATGCCTTCCAAAAAGCGGCGCATCGGCGGATCGGAGCGCACAAAGAACTTCGGCGCTGCTATAGAGGCACTTGAGAGCGGAGAACGAGCTCGTACAGAAGCACTGATGTCGTCTGCGGCGCGGGAGAATCGGCGGCTCGAAATCGACAAGCGCCGCCTGGATCGGGAAGCGAAGACCGCAGAGGCTACTCATGCGTTAAACCTGCGACGTATGGCTTTGGAGGAGCAGCGCGCTGCTAATGACACAAAGCGCGACCGGGACCAAGCTGAGGAGCGACGGATGCAGCTCCGCATCCAGGCGGGTATGTTGGACTTTTTGTCGAAGTTTGCGGACAAGGGCAGTAGTGGGAAGGGCCAGTAAAGTTTGCTAGAGGCGGGGATGGCAGTTGGAACGAGGAGTGAGAACAATTTTCGCAAGGGTATCCGAGCTCGCGATGGCGCGAAGCGCCGCGCCAGGGGCTTTTGATGGGCATTTTTGCAGTTTAAGGCAATCTACAGGCCTCTGGATGCGCTCACAACCGCCCCTTACACCGAGGATATGTAGTCCTCAAACGAGGGTGCAGAGCAATTAAAGAAGGTGGCGCTCTGCGATCCGTACATGCACGCACGAAAGTTCCACAGTACTGCGGAAACAAGGTACCACTTTGCCACTGGAACCTTCTGCAGCACCATCTTGCGGCTTGAATTGACGTGGGTAAAGTACTTCTTCAAGTCCTTAAACGCCACTCAACAGAAACCCGAACCAGCGACATGCTCTTGTTAAATGCCTTCTGCTCATCACTAAGCACCGACCGTTTGAACCCCACCTGTAGATATGGCCGCAGCACGTAGGCTGGGTCGCCATATATGTAGAACTGCCGCCCGCCTACTAACAAGGAGCTAGCAAGGTGTTCCTCTATTCCAGAGCGCCGAAACAGCGTCATATCATGTCTACGTCCTTCTTCAGGACCAAACATGTGATAAACCAGCCCGTCAGGCGTGCTCACGGCCTGCATCTTCAAGCAGTTGCGACGTTTGTGTCCGTTGTACGTTGAGCGCTGAAGGAGGCCAGCGGGGCGTGCGATGTACAGATTAGTGCCGTCTATGAAGCCTACAGCTGAGTCCAAAGCCGCACCTGCCCCATGAATTGCTTCGGCGTACATAGGCGCTCGCTGCTGGAGAAAAGTAGACCTAAAAGATGTAACCAGGGGACCAAAGGACTCGAACATAAATTCCAAGGCCTCATAGAAGATCTCTGAGAGATCACAGGCGGGCCGTCCGAACTCAAACTCTAGATCTGACCAGCGACAAATGTTGCCAAGGCGTCGAGCAAGGACGCAAAAGGAAAAAACGTCAGTTGTCCGGTAGCGGCGGCGAGCTGTGACGTTGCGCTCTTCAGGCCACCCAAGCTTGGCTACGATCCTATAGATGTCCGCCTTGCTAAAACGAAATCGCTGCAGACAGGTCTGATCGTCTAGAGAGTCAAGGGCGAACCGTGTTTCTCGGATTTGAATGCGTCGCTCGCGGCTAAGAGCCTGTTCCTCCTCCGCATATAGCACATCGCGAAGGAAGAAGCAGGTAAGTGCGTTGCTGAGCAACGCCTTGCGGCAGCGCACTACGAGAAAGAAAGATTCCGTAGAGCGACTCCGGTGTTTCGAAATTGTCGCGTCGCGGATGCGCATGTTGCACAGATGGAGTCCGAGCCCTTTCGGGTGGCTCGTACTCCGCTTTAGCGAAGAATATCGCTGTCTTTTCTGCCAAATCGGCATGTATTTTTTATTTCCGTATCGCTGTGGGATAGTACAGTAGCGAATAAATTGTCCCACGAACCGAATGCCAAAACCCTCTATTCTCTCTTGGCTGGCAGTGAAACAGAAAAGGCGGGTCATTCTCCGCATCCTGTACCTCATGGGCGATGTCGGTGTGAAGGGAAAAGATACGAAAAAGGCTGCCCGGAAAGCATTCTGAAAACCGTCAAACCGCACTGGCACTGTACACTGTGCTGTGCCCTGTGTGCACGGTACAGTGGGGACCACGATATAAGAGCACCCCGTGGCAACCCTTCATGCTGCTCTTAATCCGAGGTTGCTACTATTCAAGAATCTCGCGCAGGATGCCCATTTTACTCCTTAGAACGCTGTAACACCTCACCAATAAGTAGCTGCCTGGACCTGTGCACAGAAGCCCTCCCTCGTAAGCGCGCGAACACGCTTCTCACTCTCCGCAACAACATCCCTACCTCTGTTATATTGCAGTCATGAGCAATTGATTCTAGCGGTAGCAATAGTGTATTCAGACGAACTGATGTCGGTATAGTGGCGGTCAGTATAGTGGCGCGTTCTTCCCCAATATATGTTGTTTCGTCACTACCCAAAGGGTAACCTCCTCCACAGCCGCGGAGAAAATGGAACAGGCGGACTGTGGGCGCGACTTCTAAGATGCGTTTGAAATACCCCGAGAAAAGGCCTGTTTGATTGGAATTACAGTGTCTGATGGGTCTTGAAGTTATGATACCGTGCCAAGCGAAAATGGTGCTCTTACTGTGAGGCCGGTCTTATTCAAAGTGCTCTTGTATCGCGGCCCCCCCCCCCTGTATACTGTCCCAGACAACACAGACCGGCACTTGTACAGCGTGACTGAGTCCCTCGAGTGTCTAACCCTGTGCTCCTTTTTTGTGACGGCTATTTTTTGCCCCAGTCGGGTTATTTTCCTCCTGCTTCGGTCTTGTTGAGCGCTACGTCCCAAGAGTAGGTTCGTTGAACGCAGAATTGTGTTGTCGTTAAGAAGATATACGTTTTGTCTCCAGGAGACCCGTACTTTTTGAGTAGCACCTCCCGAAAAGTGTGGGGTGGTCCTATTTTGTGATCGGGGCATAAACTTCACAAAATGCACACAAACGTGTCAAAGTTCTCACAAGTTTTGTGAATCTCGCTTTGTTTTTGTGAATCTCACTTTATTTTTGTGACGTCAACATCTCGAAGTGCTCTTTTGTTGACTGTTTTGTGATTCACACACAAATTGTTTTGTGACTCTCACACCATTGTCTCACAATCATCTCCAACATCAACAAACCATCACAAACCCATTTAAAAAGCATAGCTGATAGCCTTGTTCTACAGACATTTTACGGCCTTCACTCTCGGGCTTGTGAAGCCTGCCTCATTCGTCGAGGAGTGCGTGCTCAGAGTCAAACTCCCTCTCATGGAC